CGTGCCCACCCAGCAACCGGGCAGAGAATCCATTGCTAAGATTTTTAAAGCCCACCCCTGGGCCCACCCCAGATGCGTGTATGCGTAGAGAGGAAAGAGAGAGGAGAGCGAAGGAAAACAATAAGCCTTTTACAGGGTCTCGGGAAAAGGCAGATATAGACGCTAGCCAGACCCTCCTTGGATGGGAAATAAATAGGAGGAGTTTGGGAGGGTCACAGACAACTGTTCATCTTCTAGTACAGTGTTTCTCAACCTTGGCAACTTGAAGATGTCCGGACTTCAAGTCCCAGAATTCCCCAGCCAGCGAATGCTGGCTGGGGAATTCTGGGAGTTGAAGTCCGGACATCTTCAAGTTGCCAAGGTTGAGAAATGCTGTTCTAGTATATAGCAAGCCATTCAGATTCCTTGGCTTGTTTCGTTCACTTGCACTGCCCGAGCTTTGCTGTTCCCATTATTGATATGGGTGGCCCTTGACTTACAACCATAATTGAAGCCAACATTTCTGTCGCTAAGCAGGGCAGTTCTTTCCACCCCATGTTATGCCTTTTTTTTCCGCCACAGTTGTTATACAGATCGCCGGGCAGTCGTTAAGTGAAACTCGCTTCCCCTCCCCATGACTGGGCTTGTCAGAAGCTGCCAGGGAAAGGTGACAGGTGGTGGTTGTTAAGTGAATCATGCAGTTGTTAAGTGAAACTTACTTTCCCCCCTCCCCCCCCCCAGTAGGGGAACTGGACTTTTGGTCAGCTCCAGCCTAGGACCTTTGTGGCTCTTTGAGTGTTTAAGGTTGCCGACTCCTGTTCTAAACTAAAACTCTTGATGGTGGGATTTTATTTTATTTTATTTCAGGACTGCTCGGATGATCGACAGTCTTGCCAGCCGAATCGAGGATCCCCAGATTCAAGCCCATTGGTCCAACATCAATGACGTGTACGAGTCAAGTGTCAAGGTTCTGATTACCTCCCAAGGCTACGAGCAGATATGCAAGTAAGCAGGAAAAGATTTATGCCCTGCCTGGTGTTTTTTTTTTAAGCAGAAAAATGGAATCCTTGACATTCGACCTTAATGGGAGCTTGCCCGTTAAAGGTACGTGTCGTGGCAGTTGTAAAATAGATCTCTCACCCGACCGATCTGATTTTACAACCATTTTTGCACAGTGGCCATTCAGGGAACCAGCGTGTCAAGTTCAAAATGTGATTTTGCTTTCGCAGCTATTGTTGCTTTTTCGTTTGCCACCCAAACTCTAGGGGGAACCCATTCTGGAAGGCTAGTTTGCTTTGGGTTTTTACTATTCTTTATTTCAGTATGTTTTTAAATACCGTAGCCGTATGGTTCTGAATATTCTGCATAAATAAATAAAGGGAGATAAATAATAAATAATAAATAATTGGGGCTTACCAGGGTTTGTGAC